AAAAATTGTCATTGAGTAGTATGGTCATTAAGCATCTGATTTTATGACCCTTTTTTCTATGGTTGTTAAGTGAGATACCATGGGATTGTTATTCGCGACCTTCCCTGGTGTCTTCCCCATTTTGCTTGTGGAAAGGCCACAAATTGCAATCAAGTTGCCCTGGAACCATTGCAAATGCCACCCCTTTGCCTTGTGCCCAGATTGTGACCATACCACTGTGGGGATCCTGCAACGGTTGTAAGTATGAGGACTGGCTGCAAGTCACCTTTTTCAGCACCATCGTACGTTTGAGCAGTCACTAAACCAATAGTTGTAATTTGAGGACTACCTGCATCAAAGGAAAGATGTAAATTAATTTCTTTCCATCTCAAAAACCTGTTGAAATAACCAGTACTGGTAGTCCTCGGCTAACAACACTTCATTTAGTGACGAACAGCACTGAAAAAAGAGACTTATGAGACTGTTCATCAAAAGGGACTTATGACTGTTCTATGACTTAACGACCGTTGCAGTCCCCCCGTGGTCATGTGATCAAAATGCAAAATGACACTTTGCAACTGGTTCACGTTTATGACGGTTGCGATAGTCCCGTGGTCATGGGATCCCCTTTTGCGACCGTCTGACAAGCAAAGTCGAGGAAGCCAGACTCACTTAACAACGTTAACTAATTTAATCTCTGCAGCGATTCACTTAACAACAGTGGCAAGAAAGGTCATAAAATGGGGCAAAACCCGCTTAACAAATATCTCGCTTAACGACACGTTTTGGGCTCAGTTGGGTCGTAAGGCAAGGACACCCCGTATGTGGGATCATCACTATTCCAGGGAAGAGGGCCGTCAGTTGAGAAGGCCCACCTCCAAGGATGAAAGGCAGAAGGAGCCCACACCTCCTGGTACCCTTGGCTCTCGGGGGGGGTGGGTGGGTACCCAGGCTCCCCCACCAGGGAGGCTCCCTTTATCTCGGGAGCTCAGATTCCTCCTCCACTCCCATCTCCACTTAGTTAGCTTTAATGACCCAGCTGGGAAGGCATCCAGCTGCTTGGCGAGTCTCCAGTTCCTTCACCATCCGGGTGGCTCTCGATGCTTCAAAGTGTTGTGATACCACAGGGATAACGGAGCTTCACTACTGCCGTAAGCTAATAGCCCATCCTTTTCCAGGGATTCTTGGGCACTTTTGCCTTCTCTAAGAAAGTTCCGAATTACGAGGCAGGTGAAAAATGGGTGCCAGAACGGTGTCTTTGCAAAGTCACTTTCTCTTTTTGACTATGGAGGACTACTGGCTTTTTTTTTTTTTAAATTAGGGCTAAGTTTGATTCATAACTGTCACTTCTTTAGTGTGTCCATTAGCAGAAAACGGAGCAAGTTCTTGGGTTGTTATTATTATTTTAACCCATTGGATGGTCACACCAAAAGAGAAGGAGACAGAAATTACTCCTTCTCCCATCGGGAGTAAAAGGCTGGTGGACTTGATTTGACTTGTTTGCTGTGTAGATTGGAGCCGACAGGCCGTTTCTCTCTTGCTCTGTGCTATACTCTGCTGGACAGCGTCAGTTGTGTAGCTGTTTGCATTGTAACCTGCCACGTTCTACATCCTTCAGATTATGTGCCGTAGAAGATTTATATGTATAAATGTTTTTTTTTTAATTAACCACATCAAAGCTCCACATTTCCGTGGCTAAGCGAGACAGTTAAGGGAACTTTGCCCCATTTTATGACCTTTCTTGCCCAGGGTTGTTAAGTGAATCGCTGCAGTTAATAACATGGTTGTTAAGTGAATCTGGCTTCCCCGTTGACTTTGCTCACCAAGTGGTCCCAAAAGGGGATCATATGACACGCACACACACACCCGGGGACACTGCAACCGTCATAAATATGAGTCGATTGCCAAGAGTCTGAATTTTGATCGTGTAACCATGGGGATGCTGCTATGGTTGTAAGTGTGGAAGATACTTTTTACAATGCTGTTGTAACTTTGGTCATTAAGTGAGTGGTTGTAAATCAAGGACTTAACAGTAGTCATATATTCAATAAGAACCCCTGTTTGGAACTCAAAATACTTCAAAAGGCTTAATAACGATCTGTCTTTTCCTGCCCGGTGTACTTTCCCTTAATTCCCAATTGAAGATCCGAGAGAGGAGCAGCAAAACCAGGGAGCCCAGTTCTTAACACTTGGTGTTTCCTCCCCACCCGCCTGATAGTGAATTTTCGGAGAAGGGCTGGCTTTGGCCTTGGTAGGGGGGGCCTGGTTTGAAAGCTCCTGTGTGCCCTGCCTCTAAGAATAGCCCATCTGTTGCCTGAGATTAAAACATTTCGGATCCAGATGGTTAAAAGCTTAAATCGGCCTTTCCAAAGATACAAATGACCCATTTCTCTACACTTCAGCCGCCACAGTGCAGTGAGAAAATTTATGGCTCTGCGCGGAGCTCCCTTTGCCCATTGTCAGGCAGCGTCTCCCTCCTCTGGCGCTCGGGGTGCTTTCGGGCTCACTTGCCATTGGCTTTATTAAAAGTGACTTTTAGCAGCATGTCGTTTCAAACGCTCGAACCACGCCAGGCGAAAAGCGAGCATTAAGTACAAATATCACAGATATTGTTTGCCAAGCAAGCGCCCTTAAATTAAGTTAATTTGTGGTGAGTTTCGAAACGGGCTAAGTCGGGACTTGTTTCCTTTTGGTTAAGAAGAGCATCCAGCAGACAAGAAAGCTAATTTAGTTGTGAGCTGCATGTGGTAGGGAAGCGTTGTCGTTCCTTAACCATAAAACATGATAAAATAATGCAGAGTCCTACTTCTCTAAATCAGGGTGGGATTAACTAAGGTTGGCAGCCATTCTGTGGTCCTGTTCAGCTAGCCAACTCCTGTAATCTTCTGGGCTGAGGAATTTCCCCTTCTTTCCTGCAAGCGAATAACTCTTCCACGGATATAATAAAATACATGCGTTTGTGACTCTAAGACCATGATCTGCTTTGGATTTAACCTAAGGGTGGGCAGCCAGTAGCCCTTGGAGTCCTCCCACCATCCCACCGTCTGAAAACTAAGGACACATATCCCTACTTTGAGGTAGAAGGCATATGAAACTTTTATGTAAGCCAGGGGTTCTCCAATCTTGGCAACTTTAAGACTTGTGGACTTCAACTCCCAGAATTCCTCAGCCAGCACGGCTGCATCCGCAAATCTTAAAAGTTGCCAAGTTTGGAGACCCCTGAGCCATAAATTAGGCATAGCACAATTAACAGAACAAAGTCCCACAAATTTCTTCCCAGTGGAAGTACCCTGCCCTGCTGACATTCATAATGCAGAGTCACCCACTGGGCCCTCAGCTTGTCCATCACACCTGATGATGCATGTGCATCAAAAGCTTGCCCATTCCTGGCTTAGCCCGATCCATTATGGTTTGTAAAGAATATGCTGGCTAGGGAATTCTGGGAGTTGAAGTCCATGCTTTGCAGATGGAGGAATACTGGAAGTTGAAGCACATCTAGCCATGTTTGAAAAACACTGCTCTGAGGGGAGGGGGAGTGTGTGTGTGAGTGTACCTTTAGGTGGGTGGGTGGATGGATGGATGGATGGATGGATAGATAGATGATGGATGGATGGATGGATTTTACTCATCAGATTCTTCAGGGTTGCTTATTTGCTATGTTGAGAACTTAAAAGTACTGGTTATACTGATGAAGCTCTTGATGTTGGTGGGGGCCAATCCATACTTCAGGGGTGGGGGAGAAGAAGAAGAGGGACAAGATACCAATAGAGATAGACAGAAATCCTCAATGTGCTATCATCCCCATGAATGGCTTAAGATATTACCTGTTTAATATATTTTGTACATTTGAATCCTGCTTTTCATGCACGGATCCGCAATAAGCAATTTGAATGTAAAACAATGTGTTTTACAGAGAGGCTCTCTGTATTTGCTGAATAGTAATAGAAACTTGGCATTAGGCAAACCCCTGCTAGATTGAGGAGAGTAGCAAGGATGGCAGATTGTAGACAGCAGTCAGGAAAATTCCCTGATTGCAGTCAAAGGAATGAGGATGGGATAAAGCATATTTTAGCTGGTTTCAAGGGTTTAGATGCTGGAACACTTGTATTACAATTCCCCCCCCCCCCATTTAAAAACCTTTCTTGGTAGGAAACTGACTGACATACTATGAACAGTGTGGAATGGAGCTGGTCTAAATCAGCTATACCTTTAAGGTGTAATTGTACTTGGGATAAACCCTTGGTCAAATTCAGAGCAGGGTTGAATTTCTACTCTGTGCTGATTTCTCCTTCCCAGTTTTTTAAAGAGTTCGGAATGTTTTATCTGGTGACTCAGCTGATTTTTAAACTGCCACTTAGAAAAATTGAATGTACTTGGGATCAAATGTTCCAGGTTTCTTTTCTAACTCAAACATACAATAGAATTAAAAACTTACAGCCACCCTTTTGTCTTTTGTAATCCATTCCGTATGAAGAACTAGTTAAGCAGCATTATTTAACGATTAGAGCAAAAGGTATTCTATACTGACGGAGGATTCAAGATCTACCACCCATCGGTCATAACTCTAGACCAGAGGCCAATCCCCACTTTTAAAAGCATAAGTAACAGATAAAATCTATTTTAGAGTACACCCCTGCAGATTAACACGCCTAATATGTTTCAGAATGGTTTGAGCTGAGACAAATTGCTTACTGCTTTTTAATTAACCTATGTATTACTACCTACGCTCTGGTTAACATAGCACAATAGAATAATCCACTTTGTTCCCTTTACACAAGGAGCACAAAGTGCCATTCCTGAACCTTAAAAACAAAAACATCAACCATTCAGTAATTAAGGGAGGAAGAAGAATGATATCCATGTCCCCCAATGTGGTGCTCCTCATGGAAGAGGCTGAGTTGGGGGGATGCTTCAGAGACAGTTGACTTGCAATCATTGGCTTAGTGACGTTTCAAAGTTAAAATGGCACTGGAAAAATTTATAACCTGTCCTCACACTTATGTCTGCTGTATGTTAAATTAAATTTCAACCATCCTGAACCATTTTTTGTTTTTCTTTTCTTTCAGGGAAAAATGCTGATCATCCAGTTGTGAGGACCGGTGACAACTGAGCGCTGGTGGCGTGCCAAGAGTGGGGACAGTTGTCTTTGCCGTGCTAACCGTCCTTAATCTGAACTGCCAGTAGTGCCCCTTGCCGTTTGGGGGTTGCACGGGAGAACCCCGATAAGCCTAGGAAGCAGCCCGGCGCAAAACAGGATGTTTGGACGATGATGATGGCAAGGAAGCAAGATGTCCGCATTCCCACCTACAACATCAGTGTGGTGGGCTTGTCCGGGACGGAGAAGGAGAAAGGCCAGTGCGGCATCGGGAAGTCCTGCCTCTGTAATCGGTTTGTGCGGCCGAGGGCAGACGACTTCCACTTGGACCACACCTCCGTTCTCAGCACCAGTGACTTTGGGGGACGGGTGGTTAACAATGACCACTTCCTCTACTGGGGAGAAGTGGTGCGCTCCCTGGAGGACTGTGTGGAATGTAAAATGCACGTTGTGGAGCAGACCGAGTTCATCGACGACCAGACTTTCCAGCCGCACCGCAGCACCGCCTTGCAGCCGTATATCAAGAGGGCCGCGGCCACCAAGCTGGCCTCCGCCGAAAAGCTCATGTACTTTTGCACCGACCAGCTCGGCCTGGAGCAAGACTTCGAGCAGAAGCAGATGCCCGACGGGAAGCTGCTGGTGGACGGCTTCCTCCTCTGCATCGACGTCAGCCGTGGCATGAACAGGAACTTTGATGAGCAGCTCAAGTTTGTCTCCAACCTCTATAACCAGCTTGCCAAGACGAAGAAGCCCACCGTGGTGGTCCTGACCAAGTGCGACGAAGGCGTGGAGCGCTACATCCGGGACGCCCACACGTTCGTCTTCAGCAAAAAGAACCTCCAGGTGGTGGAGACCTCGGCCAGGTCCAACGTGAACGTCGACTTGGCCTTCAGCACTTTGGTGCAGCTGATCGACAAAAGCCGGGGGAAGACTAAAATCATCCCCTACTTCGAGGCTTTGAAACAACAGAGCCAGCAGATAGCTGCCGCCAAGGACAAGTACGAGTGGCTGGTGAGCCGGATTGTTAAAAACCACAATGAAACCTGGGTCAACGTCTCGCGAAAGATGCAATCCTCTCCGGAATATCAGGATTATGTCTACTTGGAAGGGACTCAGAAAGCAAAGAAGCTTTTCTCACAGCACATCTTTCGCCTGAGGCAAGAGCATATCGAGCGCAGGAAAAAGATGTATCTGGCCATGTTGCCTCTTGCCTTCGACGCCCTGATCCCAAACCTGGATGAAATCAACCATCTGAGTTGCATCAAAGTGGAGAAGCTGCTGGAGACCAAGCCGGACTTCTTAAAGTGGTTCGTCGTGCTTGAGGAGACGCCCTGGGACGCCACCAGCCACATTGACAACATGGAGAACGACCGCATCCCCTTCGATGTTATGGACACCTTGGCGGCCCAGCAGCTCTACGAGACCCACCTGGAGAAGCTGAGGAACGAGAGGAAGAGGGCAGAAATGAGAAGGGCCTTCAAGGAGAATCTGGAGACGTCTCTTTTCATCACCCCGGGAAAGCCTTGGGAGGAAGCTCGCAGTTTCATCATGAACGAGGATTTTTACATGTGGCTAGAAGAATCGGTGTACCTGGACATTTACGGTCGGCATCAGAAGCAGATCATCGAGAAGGCCAAGGAGGACTTCCAGGAGCTGCTCCTGGAGTATTCGGAACTCTTTTACGAGTTGGAGCTCGATGCCAAACCCAGCAAAGAAAAAATGGGGGTCATCCAGGACGTCTTGGGGGAAGAGCAGAGGTTTAAAGCGTTGCAAAAGCTGCAGGCCGAACGAGACGCCCTGATCTTGAAACACATCCACTTTGTCTACCATCCCACCAAGGACACCTGTCCCAGCTGCCCGGCTTGCGTAGATGCTAAGATAGAGCACTTAATAAGTTCCAGGTTTATCAGGCCCTCGGATCGCAATCAGAAGAACTTGCTTTCCGATTCCAACATTGACCGCATCAACTTAGTCATCCTCGGGAAAGACGGACTCGCCCGTGAGCTAGCCAACGAGATCCGAGCTCTTTGCACGAACGACGACAAGTACGTGATAGACGGGAAAATGTATGAGCTCTCCTTGAGACCCATTGAAGGGAACGTCCGGCTCCCCGTTAACTCTTTCCAGACGCCCACCTTTCAGCCCCACGGCTGCCTCTGCCTTTATAACTCTAAGGAGTCCCTGTCTTACGTGGTGGAGAGCATCGAGAAGAGTCGAGAGTCCACCCTCAGCCGAAGGGACAACCACCTTGCTCACCTTCCTCTCACCCTGATTCTGGTGAACAAGAGAGGGGACACCAGTGGAGAAACCCTGCACAGCTTAATACAGCAAGGCCAGCAGATTGCGAGTAAATTGCAGTGCGTGTTCCTCGACCCGGCTTCTACCGGCATAGGATACGGGCGCAACATTAACGAAAAGCAGATCAGCCAAGTCCTGAAAGGCTTGCTGGATTCGAAGCGCAACTTAAACCTGATGAGCTCAACCGCAAGCCTTAAAGATCTGGCCGACATCGACCTTCGGATCGTCATGTGCTTGTTGTGCGGAGACCCTTTCAACGCCGACGACATCCTTCTCCCCGTTCTTCAGTCCCAAACCTGCCGGCCCTCCCCTTCTGGAAGTAGCAATGCGGTGTTACTCGAGTACCCCATTGGACCCCACAAGAGACGCATCGAGCTCTCCTTGCTCTCTTTCCACTCCGCCTTCAGCATCCGCAAAAGCTGGCTGGTCCACGGCTACATTTTGTTTTACTCTGCCAGGCGCAAGGCATCTCTGGCTATGTTGCGTGCCTTTCTTTGCGAAGTGCAGGACATCATCCCCGTTCAGATTGTGGCGCTCACGGAGGGCTCCCTCGACGTCCTGGACAACGACCTGAGCCGGGAGCAGCTGACCGAGGGGGAGGAGATCGCCCAGGACATCGAAGGGAAATTCACGAGCATCCCCTGCAGCCAGCCTCAGCACAAGCTGGAAGTCTTCCACCTGTTCTTCAAGGATGTGGTGGAGAGGAAGAACATCATTGAGGCGACCCACATGTACGACAATGCGGCGGAGGCCTGCAGCACCACGGAGGAAGTCTTCAACTCTCCCCGGGCGGGCTCCCCTCTCTGCAATTCCAACCTGCAGGATTCCGAAGAGGACGTCGAGCCCCCCAGCTACAGCCCGTTCCGAGACGACGGCTCCATGCCCGCCTTGTCCAAGGACCTGTCCAAGCTGTCCATGGAGCTGGAGAGCAACGATGGGATTTCGGTCTTCTCCGTGATGAGCACTTTCGAAAGCAAGCTGAACAGCAAGGTTCCTCCGCCGGTGAAACCAAAGCCCGCCGTCCACTTTGATATTACCAAGGGGGATCTCTCTTACTTGGAGCAAGGGCACCGAGAGGGGCAACGGAAACCCGTCTCCTCCAGCAGCTGGCCGCCTACCGATGGCTTCGACCCTTCGGATTATGCCGAGCCGATGGACGCCGTGGTCAAACCCAGGAGCGAGGAGGAGAACATCTACTCCGTGCCTCACGACAGCACCCAGGGCAAAATCATCACCATTCGGAACATCAACAAAACCCAGTCCAACGGGAGCGGCAACGGGTCGGACAGCGAGATGGACACCGGGTCGTTGGAGCGGGGGCGCAAGGTCTCGCTGACCAGCAAGCCGGTGCTGTATCGGACCCGGTGCACGAGACTCGGGCGCTTTGCCAGTTTCAGGACCAGTTTCAGCATAGGCAGCGATGATGAGCTGGGGCCCATCAGGAAGAAAGAGGAAGACCAGACGTCCCAGGGCTACAAAGGAGATAATGCTGTCATTCCCTACGAGACAACGGACGAAGACCCCAGGAAAAGAAATATCTTACGTAGCTTGAGAAGGACCACCAAGGTAATGTGTGTGTGTGTGTGTATGTCTGGGAGTGTCTTTAACTCCAAATCGTGTGGTGTGACAGCTATTAGAGCAGAGGTGGGAGAACCATATTCCTTTTATGACTTGTGGGCTCCGACTCCCAGAATTCCAGAGCCAGCTACGTGGCATGACAAAACCGCGCTCCACTAAAGCGCGCCCGATTAAACCGTGTCGCTGACGTCATCAGCAG